CAAGTCCGCCAATGCGCACTTGGCCAGCGTGGTGGACTATGGCCTGATCACCTCGTCCTGAAGGGAGGCCCGTGCCCAGCAGTGGGACGTTAAAAAGGGCTGAATACAACCTATTTCTATTGGAAGAAACTTATGATTATTTCCTAGAAGTTATCAATTAAAGTTATTAATAAAACTTAATTATTATTAAAACATTAGTTCAAGTCAAATATTGAACTTTATTGACTTTGTAATAGAATACCATACTACGGCGTTGTTTCCACCGAAACATTCCTTATCATTGCGAAAATAAATTACACTCTATTACAATAGGCGTAGAGTCCTTTTAACAACAACACATTTACTTATATGTATTGAAATTTGAACTGTAACAGTATTATATAATGTCGGGTCCATATGGTATTAGCTTTTAATTAAAAGTAACTTTATGTTTATTGCGGGAGAGTTTAATTTCTTTCAAACCCGCTTAAGACGTAATGAATAAAAGAAAATTTAGTCACGCCACTCAGTACTAACTACTTTGCTTATAATAATAATCACTGTGAATGTATGTAGGTATGTGTGTACAAAGGAGGTATATCTAAAACATTCTACAGTCTTCTTCATTTCGTTATCCTTACTAATAATTAGTGGGTTTGTCCTTCTTTCTGTAATCTGTATAAATATTGTAGATGTGAAATTTTGTGAGTATGTATTGATTTTTGTTACTATTTCACGCCAGAACAGCTAATCGGATCTGGATGATATTTGGCACAGAGATAGATTATAGTCTGGAATAATACTGCTTTTTATCCCGGAAAAATATATGGTTCCTGAGGAATAGATTTGGTTTTTCTAGAAGCGAACCCAAGTAAGCGAGGGTGAGCCGCTAGTGTTAGCATATAATGAATAGTTATTGTGTTGTCGAAATTAGACCAAAATCATTTTTTTTATTTATAACACTAAAACTCGTCAATAGCTCTTGAAAAATCGATTGACAAACAGACGAGAAAAAGGCACTGAACTGTTTTGTTATTGCCTATTTAAATATAGATTTATATTAAATATTATATAATAAGACAATAGTATATACGAAGAGTATACATATTTTGTGTATCGTATAAGTATTAGGCATTAGCATATAACACCTCGAGGTAACTTTCTAAGAAATTAATTAAATTTCTAAGAAATCTATTGTTAACTGTAACGCCGGCGTGTCCGCGGTCGTTGAGGGAATATTGTACAGTCATTATCCATACTTAAAAACTATAAGATTTCTTTAGTGTAGTATTTTAAAACATAGCTGTTATTTTTTATATAATCTACCCCATGTCGGGTAGAAGAGAGCTTATCTACAGTTTTTATTGTTCGCCATTAAGTAACGCTATCACCCAACTAATTTCCATTCTTTGTTTCATTCAATTCCAGCATTATTTTATGATTTCATTTTAATTACTACAATGCAAATATGAATGATATTAAAATTGCTCAAATCGGGAATCGAAAGCGCTAATTCGTCTTAATTTGTTAAGGATAACTTATATTCAGTTGAATACGTTTGAAACGGGAGTTTATTATTAGTTTGCACCTTTTTGGAACGCTAGGAATTTAGGGTCGTACATTGTTGGTCGCTTGATCGTTCCTCAACCTACTGGAATCTCATTCTGAGTCAAGAGGTATTTTTGTTGTGGTTTGTCAGTCACAGCCCGTAATGAGATGGACAGGCGAAAGAATGTACATGTCAGTATCGGTTTAAGCGAGTATTATCTTTATTAATGATGACTAGTGTAATGTGATCTTTGATTCTCGATGTAGTTAATTGATTTTTTTAATGTTTATAATGTTGGTGGTATGATGTTATGGCTGGAGATAGCCTTCGAATGTTTCTACCTTTATATGTTGGGACATTAACACACAGCACCATCTAGTTCCATGGTAAGCTACGAGGCTTGTGTTATGGATACCAGATAGTTGATACATTACACATATATAACTTCAAATACATACATATTATTATAAATATAAACACCCATGACTGGAGTACAAACATTCGTGCTCATCACACAGATGAATGCCCCCAGCGGGACTCGAACCCGCGACCTCTGGCATTGCAAGTAGGGTTACTACAAACTGAGCCAAACATGTCTTGTGAATTTGCTTCGTACTTATAATGTATAAAGAATTTAACAGATTTATGCTTCAAATTGCTATTACATATATAATACTGAAATAGCCTTCCAATGTAAACATCGAACAATAAAATTTTCTTCTTAGAAAATTCTTAGAAAATATCATAAAATTCATGTACATTATTGTATTTTTATGTGACAATTCAATATGCAGGTGCATGCGCTGTTTAGATACTTCCCAAGCATACGCCGTTAAAAACTTCTTAGAAGCCTATATAAAACCCCATTGTCTCGATATTTGTATTCGATTACTGTCGAAATATTACTACACGTCCGCCGGCGCCGGCGCCGAATCGCAAATGATAGGCATTGGTAATTCAACGAGACAATAAAATTGATCTCAAATTCTATAAATAATGGTTTATTCAAAAAACAATTCTTTTTTCTAGACTAAAAAGTTAAATTCTTATTTCACATCAGTTAAGATGGCTGACTTTTATAAAAAACATCGATAACAATATCGATTCCCATATGAATTGATTTTTCTATTGTCATAAACTATTGCCGCTATATATGTATGTAGTAATTAAATGAAAGTTTCCCAACATACGATAAGTTACATGGAAACTACAAATATTCGCTTAGAAGCTTATGTTTACTCGTTGTATATAATCATTGAACTATTAATATTAACCTCAATTCAATAACACAACCGTCTTATAAGCCAAGTCGGTTAAATCAAACTGGCGCCCGAAATTCGGGCCGTGTAGCGCGTGTTGTTTGCAAATAGGATAAGTGCTATTGTGTATTAAATTGATTCATTTAACTGTGTGATACTTTTTATAAATTCACTTAAGTGTTTTTTGTTATTTCATTGCCTTCCCTTGCGACAAATGAAGCTTTATGAAATTATTATTTTATTTATTAATTCCGTGAAAATCTATATAAATCTATACATATAATAAAATTAATTCTAACTGAGCCGAATCTGTACATGAAATATTTTTTGGAAAATAGTTTTTAGAATTTTTGTCTGTCTGTCTGTTTGTCTGTTACCACATCACGGAAAAACCATTGGACGGATTTTGATGAAATTTGGTATGATGATAGCTGGTTATCTAGGTCAACATATAGGATACATTTTACTGCGGGAAAACATCTCATCTCTGAGAAATCTATACTAAACGTTAAAAAGTATTAAAATGTATAAACAGTTATCTATGCGTGAATGCTGAATATCATTATTTAGTTTAAACTAGCGGCTCATCCTCCTTTTGCTCGGGTTCGTCCCTAGGTACGTTAAAGTTTAAATAGATATAAATAGTTATTAACCAGCGTTAACTACCTAAGTACTTACTAAAACGATTTAGGTAATGTGACCTCTTCAAATCAGTTTTTTTATAATCAAGCTATTTTTTTAAATTAAATTACATAGTTCTTAGTACAGACTACAGATAATCTGTTTCAGAATCCTTATTCTAAATACTTAGTTGTTGATTCTAAAAATTAATGTCTGTTGTCGACCAATGTCGTTTATGAAAAAAAGATGCCATAAAATGATATTTCTAAGAAATTAAATTTTAATACTTGGTGAATTTGGAGTTTAATGATATATTGTATATAATTTTGCTAATTACTAATTAATATATAATTATTTAGAAGTAAAATTAGTTTTTTATGTTTTGTACTTTCGGAGCTTATTCGGTAAAAACAAACAAAAAATCGTTTCTATTTTTTATAATAATATTAGTATAGAGTATAAATATGTATAGATTTCTCTCGACCTATCCACTACACTAAGACATTCATTTTTATCTCGAATAATGCCACAGCTTGATACTCTCATTAAATAATTTAATATTAAAGTCGCTGCAATGCTTTGAAAGCTAATTCAGTAATAATAGTACGCATTGCGAACAAACGCACGTATAAATCTTTTATTGTACATAATAACATACTTCTTCAAAATATCCACTTTAAAGCAAAGTTTTAAACAATTTTGATGGTACATTACTCTGTTATTTGATGAAAACCGCAATAACCCAAAAAAAATATATATAAAATTGACATAACGTAAGGGTTTTGGTTATGAGGTCGAAATATAGGGTGCATCCTACATAATTGCCTTACCTGCAGTGTTTGTTTAAAGCTCATTTGTACCGTTTCTGGGAACTGAACCCCTCAACGTCTTGCGGTCAGCTAGTAGGCTTTGATGAGAGATTTATACGTTTTAGGGTTCTTCAATCTTACTTTATATTATAAATGTGAAACTTTAGATGGATATTTGTCTGGCACATAGATAGATTATAGTCTGGAATATCACATGGCTACTTTTTATCCCAGAAAAATGTACAGTTCCCGTGGGATAGACTTATCTCTGTTTTGTTAAAGTGTAAAGTAAATAAAATAAATCAGTCTTTAATTCGTTAACAAATACAATAATTACTTAGTTCATATTCAGTATTATGTCTGTCTGTCACAGTTAATTTTCTTTTACAAGACTGTGAAGTTTTATATCGACATGAAAGTTCGTACGTCAAATGACACGTGAATAAAATAAGTGTAAGGGACTAAACTATGTAATTAAAAAAGGGATGCCAAACTAAAGGGCTCGTACTGTGATATATTCCTGAAGATCTTTTTTTTATATTATTAAACAGCTATTTTATTAATATATTTATTCCAAAAAGTCTTATTTATGATTCATTAAAGTAGAGCTTTTATAAATAAAACATGCAATTAAACTAAAGTAATGCGTGCTTTCTTACGCCCTAGAACGAACACTGTAATGTAATAGAAATAAAAAAGTTAATTCTCTAATAAGTTTAGATTAGGTACCTGAATTATAAATTATAATTTGAATTTATATTAATAACGGTCTTTTTGTTACAGAAACCCCTCCGCCTCCTTACAGTCGGATCGCAATGGACGACGTTAAACCTAAAGGTAAGTTAAATATTTTCTTAGATTTAGGCGTATAATTGAAATTGAAATGAAACTTCTTTAGAATCGTTGTGATTTGAAACTCGATAAAACGAACATTCGACACTAATAAGAAACAAAACATAAATATATTAGGATATAGGATTAAGCCAGCGAGAGAATGAGACAGAATATATTAGTATTGCCATGGTAACCGTTGTTATTGACTGACAAATATATTATAATATTTTACATATTCTTTCCGTATATGTTATTCTATGGTTGTCATATGACTTATTTAATTATTGATTTGTTTTAATTTAATTGCGATATTTGCCCAAAAAGCTTCATTTCTACCGTGAGTGAATTGCATACACACACTTTTAATTTTTTTTTAATAAAACTATCCTTTCGATTGTCCAACTCCGATTCGAGTCTCCCGTGACCAGGATTGCTGGAAGGCATTCGAAACGTCTGGAACCAAAAATCAACTAAATCCGCGAAAAATCCGAAAATATAGTTTTATTCCACAGGTCAGGTTATTAATTACTAAACAATTATTATATTATGCTACTTTTTTATCTCACGTTAACTACACTATGGGTGTATCAATATAAAAATAACATTTTTTTAACACGGTTGCCCAAATATTACTACTGGTATATGACTTAGTAGGTACTAGGTATGCACGTATATTGTATAGGTCTGCTAGATACTCGAGCATTATTTGCACATTAGAAATGCTTGAGTACGTAGTAATGAATATGAAATAAAGTTATAAAAATATATTTTAGTTCAATTTGGTAGTAATTTTTAAGAAATCAAAATAACTGTAATATAACCGAGATACGCGAAATAATAAAAAATAATAATAATATATAAACTATTTTCTGCTAAGATTGTTTTATTGTAATTATAAAGACAAGCTGTCTTCGAACAGTGTTTCATCCCGCGATAATGTAGATGGCGTCGAAAAGCGCGGGAGATCGAGGAATCCGAGCGAGGGCCGGCGCCCGCCGCTTCCTGGAAATTAGGGATAATAGTGACGGGATCGTGTCGGTTTCACGCAACACGTATTAGACACCAGAATGCGCTATACACCGATAAACACTTAAAACACGCTCTAGAGCGGGAAAACGCTTTGTTAAAACTAACACGTAAATTTAATTTGTATATTCTTTCTGATTTAGTAGTTCACGTGAGATATTCGATTGAATATACAAAAAAAGCTTGATTAAAATGTTCACACACAATTTCACAATTTTCGATTTTATTATGAACTGGTTTTTCTCAAGATATTATTTAACTCGTTATCGTAACGAATCGTCTGACAAATACTATTAGAATACGATACAACAAAAATTATCTGCGACCATTAAAATAGACGGCGATAAACACTATTTTTTAGCGAACATAGTTACCTTAATTAAATAGCGGCAGAGCCGGCCGCCGACTACGCGTTGTGATAAATATGCAAAAGAATGTAGTCGATGCTCGATGAATATCCACAATAGAAATATCTTAATCAATATTCTTGGTAATATCTCAAGATGCGAAGAATGCTGATCGTGTTTGCTATTGTTCTTACATAGAGTGAAATAGAATCAACGCACTGCGTTTTAAAGTCATTGACATATCGATAGCATTATCTAAAAATTTGATAATATAAGTTATCATTTATCGAGTAAAGCACAGCTCTATCGTTGGCCGGTCGCGCGCATTCCAGCGACGCCATCTTTAAACTACATTATTAATGCTTACGGCACGGCAAACATCACAGCAAGTTTTTTCTTTTCAACACAAAACCCAGGACGTATTTGCTCTTACTTCTTAAATCAGCTTAGTTAGACACCTTGTCTTTTCTATTGATTTATCTAAAATCAAGAGTTTTGCAATCACCTGTTGCATATAAATAAAAGCAGATATAACGTGACTAAATATTATGTATATCTTGTCCTTTACAAGGATTAGGATGTATGTACTTATTGTGTTATTATTATGTATTGATATAATAAAGACTAACACAGCTTGTTTGGTGAGAACGAACCCTTTCACTTGTAAAACGCTCATTTATACTGCATAGAATATTTTGAGTTTATGATCATAACTTGACCCCTTAAAAGCTCATTATATTTACATTTACATCAAAATTTTGTAATGGAATGTTTAAAACTTTCTAAGGGCCCAAAATGAAGGCGGTTAAACTTTTTTCCAAAGTATTTTTTTCCGGCCGAACGCGAGGCAACCCAGCAGGGGAGGCATATTTGTTTTTAATAAAGTAGTTTATAATATTCCTGTATTGACAGTGTCCGCTGGTAACATCGATTTAGTTGACAATTAAGAGATCGACTCTCAAAATGCCGCTTGATGGCTTTCTAATACATTTTATTGAACTACTAGATTGGTGGCAGCTCTTGAGGCATTTGAAATCTTGATGACCATTTATTTCTCACTAAATATGTCTTATTTCCTAGCAGAGTTTTTAGATAGTTCCTACAGTTTTAATACAAAAATTCTTACTTAGATTGATATAATAGTTTGTTTTTATATAAACTATGAAAGTCCCTTTCAGTTTTCAAAATTTAACCATATTTTAGTCTTCTATTTTTGACGCGTAACAAATTAAGAATCTTGTTTCACAAAGCTGTTATGTCCGGACATACCGAAGTGGAGCTTTGTTGTATATATTTTAGTCCCATTCAAATTTTTCATCTGCAATAGTTTATTTTTTCTTATTATATACAACACTAATTTACGAGTTATTTTTTGCTCGTGTGTTATTTTTTACTTCGATATGCGGTTATATCAACTTTTCAAAGCATAAAGGATTATAATTTTGAATGCTAATATCATCTTTTTATTATTTACATTTTATTAAAAAAATGGTTTAAAATTTTTGTGTTGTAAATATTAATATTATTGCTAAAAAATGACATTAATATTATAATATCCACACATGTACAAGTATACGCGTGTTGTTAAAAATATGATTTATCCCGATACGTCACAGGAATTTCCGTTTTCCATAATATCGAATGGGGTGTAAAACTTGGCTCTATTGCCTCGGGATTCCCTTAAGCCTTCATCATAGGGTTTTCCGGGACTCCAGACAACACCCTTCGTTGCCACTCAGTTTGTCTACAATAAACCCTTCCTTTAATTAAAATTTGGGGCCACGTCATTACGTTCGAGTTCGCTCCAAATATTGGCAACCTTACTAATTGATCCGCTTATATCTTAATGTTATTCAAATCCGATAAAACTACCATCGCTTTTAGCCGCTTAGTGAATGGATGGGCACAATTTAGGCCCTTTTTTTCTGATATACTCGACATTGACATTCCGATTGGGTCTCTTTCTCACGTGCTTCCTCGAATCCATTCATTCCATTTACAAGCAGCTTTAAAGGGCTCATAAATATCAGGTTTGACGCCGGAGTTTCGACCTTAGGCAGGATAGGTACGGGGCCTTTTTAATTTTCCGCTAGATTCTTGTTTTAAGTGAAGCGGTTCTCGCGGGTATCGCCCGAGTGTCGCGATAAAGATGGTATCCATTAACGTTATCGTCACGTTATCGAAGCGCCGGCGCCGCTCGCCTGACACAAATATTACTGGTCAGTGGCTGCTCTTGCTCTCTCATTGGATGCTTCACCCTTTCATATTTATACTTGCAGTTATTGCTGTCTACGTATTTAATAGTAAGATGAATCATAGGGTTAATGCTGGCTGGACCTGCACTTGTGGAACGAAATATGGGGGTTTAATCATAAATTTGGGATATTTTCTTATTTCTGTATATATAACATTAACAACGTGGCGGCCATGATTATTTATTTTTTTGAAAGTAAAAGTTGATTGATATATTTAAACCATATTATAACATTTGAAATACAATTTAACTTTTATAAATCAGCAATAATAATATATGTATGTATGTATAAGATAAAGTGTGTTTCTTAGTTTTTGTTATTATCAAGCCAAGGCATGGTTTTTGCATAGCAATAGTTTATAGCCCATATCTCTATATTATGGTATTTTTTATCAATCACCGCACTTCAAAGTAATTCCCGTGGGATATTAATCTGTTGCAAATAGTTATTGACGGACTGGTTATAAGTTTTATTAAGCTTTTGAAAGCTTCAGAGTTCAATTTTAAAAGTGCTAAATTTTAAGCTCACATAGAAGATAGTAAGAGTTACGACTAAAGGAAATTTCCTGATCTTATAAGATAATCTTCATACATCCAGGTCTATCGAAGAGTTTTTTAAGCGTTTAATGCTAAGTGAATGACAACATCTGATGTCTAGCCCTTGGAATGTTTAGTTTAGAGGTGTGTCTAAACGTCATCGAAGTGTGATTTATGGCGTTTCAATGTACTTTACGATAGTGAAATGATGACTCGTGTCGAACGTTACGAGTTCATGCAAAAACTACGATTTTATTGAAAACTAGCGACTCACCCTCGTTTCGCTCGGGTTCGTCCCTAGGTACGTCCCTAGATATGCTAGTATGGAATAGAGTATATTTTATATATACATAGGTATGATAAGTTGTTGTGGGGTGTCTTATAACGTATTTACCCGTGGGAATGAGAAATCTCTCGCGGTAAAAACTAGCTTATGTCACTGTCCAACCCTCCAACTATCTCCACACAAAATTACACCAACACACTTATTAAAATATGGATATAGATATTACATACATATTATATCCTTTACTTTAGGGTGGTCCCATAAAAACTTCAAAAAAATCCACACTGAAGTGGAATATTCAGTTTGTGATTTTGATGTCGCCGTAACTATTTAGCTTAAAGTAATTGTTGTAGAGATGTTGATGTGAAGTTGGAGTGCGTATCAATAAATAGTTTTAGATTCTAGTTGTTTTGACTAATAAACTTTTTATTGTTCTGATATAGAATTTTCATGGCCGTTGGGTAATTAAAATTTTATTACAAAATGATTATATGTAAAATTTACCATTCTCAATTAAATATCCATAAGATGTTATCTGAACTTGTCAATATTT